ACAAGTCCCAAATAATCCCTCGTCGCAATGTCTGAAGCCCAAAAGTCGAGTCTGGATCCAATGTCACCAAGCTCTCTCTCTCTCTTTCTCTCGTACTCTGCTGATGCAGTGAAGTCAGATAATGAGAGGGTGAGAGGGAGATGGTGGACTGAGCAGAGGAAGAAGAAGAACTCTCTCTCTCTGTCACGAGCCAGATACTAACCTGTGAAGTTGGCACTGTGCTGCAGGTACCTCGAAGACGAAGCTGGAGCAACGGCGCTGCAGGTAGGTACTCCTGGCCTCCGCCCAATCTCTCTCTCTCTCTAGTACTATCCTAGCTATAGCGCCCAGCGCTGAAGAGTACAGCTACCTACTGGCGCCCAGCGCTGAAGACTAATGCTAACGCTACTACTACTCCTGCAGCGCTCCCTCCAGAGTGCTGCTGCCGAATCCTCAAGACTACTGACTGCCTCCTGCCTACCCGTGAAGTGCATGAGAAGTCCCTATGTACTATCTTGCCCTGCCTCCTGACTGCCTCCGCCTGCCTGCAGTGGCAGGGCGGGCAGTCCAGGAGGCTGCTCTTGCCAATGCCGAACAGAGCCAGGGGCTGGAGCTGCAGCTGTCGTGGGAACAGGCCAAAAATAGCCAGTTCCTAAAACCCTGGTTCGGTGCCTGAGTTTCAGGGCAGGCCGGTCTGATGACAGACTGGAAATGGCCCTTTGTTTCAGGCTAAAAAGGCTGCTTCCATTTTTAGTCTGAAACGACACAGGGTCTGTAGGCCCCTGTTTTCCAGGCTTTCGAGCTGGCTGGTCACGGGGCCTGTAGGCCCTGGTTTTCAGGCTTTCAGCCTAAGGGACGCAGGGCCTGGAAAATGGCCCTCGTGTGCAGGCGCAGCATGTAACACCCCCCCCTCCTTATGAAGTCAAGCCGGGCCGAGGGCAAAGCCGACGATCTTAAGGTGGAACCTGGACGMGGGCGCGGTGTGGAGCCGAAGAAACCGGTTTGCCTTGCATTTTGCATTTGTAGCGTGCGAGAACGTCTGGAGCTGTTGCTTGAAGTTCCGCACGGGTCAACCAACGGTCAGCTCGGTGTGTGCAGTATGCAAAATGCACTAAATACTCGGTTGGCCTGTTGTCGTAGCGTCGCTAGGAGATGATGTCGCCGACCTCCTGAAAACCATCCATTGAGGGTGGCTCTTGCGAACGTCTCCCAGGAAAATCGTCATGTTCCGCTGGCGTGTAAAGAGCCAACTTGGAGCAATGAAAGACTGGGTAGACGGGCAAGTGGGCGGGCACCTGAATCGTGAAGGAAGGTCCTTCAGGTGCGTCCCCAGCGGGTGCCACGATCGGCCAGGGCCCCATCCATTTCATGAGGAGCTTGCGAGAGATGTCTTGTTCAAGGATGAATTCCGCTGCGGAAACCCAAACGAGGTCGCCGACACGGATTGGGCAAGGAAGACGCTGGCGATTGGCCTGCTGGCTCATGCGCTGCTGCGTCTTAGCCATTTGGTCGTGTGCCTTGACAAGAAACTCTTGCATCCGACGCAAGAAACGAAGATGGTCGTCGCTCTCGGCCGTTCGTGGAGTGATGGTGTCCTACGGTGAAGTGACCGGCAAGCCGTGCTCAAAATCGAAAGGCGGTATCCCGATAGCCGGGTGGATGCAAGAGTTGTATGCCGTTTGGGATCGCCGGCGTGGAGTGGGCAAGGAAGACGCTGGCGATTGGCCTGCTGGCTCATGCGTTGCTGCGTCTTGGCCATCTGGTCGCGTGCCTTGACAAGTAGCTCTTGCATCCGATGCAAGAAAATAAGATGGTTGTCGCTCTCGGCCATTCGTGGAGTGATGGTGTCCAACGGTGAAGTGACCGGCGAGCCGTGCTCAAAGTCGAAAGGCGATATCCCGATAGCCGGGTGGATGCAAGAGTTGTATGCCAACTCGACATCCGACAGCTGCTCAACCCAGTCCTTCTGGTCAGGACGGATGAGAGTGCGAAGGAGAACTTGTGTGGTCTGGTGCGCCCTCTCCGTTTGGCCATCGGTCTGAGGGTGGCGAGCTGAACTTGGCTTGAGAGATGAGCCCCATTGTTTTGATGTGCGCCAACCAAAAATCGGACATGAACCGAGTGTCGCGGTCGCAGACGGTTTCCTTGGGGTAACCCTTGGTTCAAATCCAACAGGCGTAGAGAACCTCGGCCAACTCCGATGACTTGGCATGATAGCGACAAGGCAAAAACATGGCGAACTTGGTGAGTCGGTCGACCACCGTGAGAATCCCATCCACTCCGATCTTCTGCTTGGGGAACGGGCCGGTAATGTCCATGGCAATCGCTTCCCTTCGCCTCAACGGGACCGGTAATGGTCGTAACTCGCCGTGCAGACGATGGTTGCGGGATTTGCAGCGTCAGCAAACCTCGCATGACTCGCAATAGCGTGTGACGTCGCCGAGAAGACCGGGCCACCAAAATCGCTCGCGAAGTCGACCAATCGTGCGATTGACTCCAAAGTGTTCGGTGGCGGGAGCATCGTGGAACTCGCCAAGAAGCCGTGTACGCAAGTGAGGATCACTCGGTACTCAAAGAAGGTCCTTCCCCCGCGTGTGGACAAGCAAGTACCCCTCTTGGATCCGGTAGTGAGAAGGCGCCGCGTACTTGTCGCGAAACTCGGGGTCGGCTTGGTAGCCGCGGATGAAGTTGTTCCGCAGGTCGTCGTCGATCTCGAAGGTTGAGTAGACCGCGGTACAGTGTTCCGGACGCCGTGAAAGAGCATCCGCAAAACGGTTCGACTTCCCGAGAATGTGATCAGGAAAGAAGTTGAACTGGTCGATGAAAGCCATCCATCGAGCGATGGTGCTGTTGACAGTGTCTTGGGTCTTATAGAAGACCAACAAATTGTTGTCTGTTACCCATCGGAATTGGCTTCGACCAAGGAGGAAGTGCCGCCACCGCTTGAGCGCGTGGACGAAGGCGAGGAGCTCCTTCTTGCGTGCATCGTCAATGGAGTGCACAACGGGCACTTTCTTGCTGAAATATTCGACCGGGTGCCAGTCCACGCCATCGTGTTGCTCGAGGACAGCACCAATGCCATAGTGGGACGCATCCGTAGTGACGCGCGTAGGCAAAAGCGGATCGTATATGAGCAAGACCTCCGCATATAATAGCACGGCTTTGAGAGCCAAAAATGATTCCCACGCCTCCTCTCCGAAGTCAAACGGTCGATCCTCGCATTGAAGCTTGGTCAAGTGGGCCGCGATCTTCGAGTAGCCTTTGATGAAACATTGATAGTAGCCGGCGAGGCCAAGGAATGAACGGACATCCGTGACGTTTCGAGGCTCCAACCACTCTTGGATGGCTTGAATCTTGTCCGATAGCGGACTGATGCCTTCCGGTGTGACAAAATGCCCCAAGTATTCCAGCTCTTGTCGGACAAATTCGCACTTGTCACGCTTGGCCTTGTACTTGGCGCGGCGGAGCGTCTCCAACACTCGTCGAAGATGCCCAAGATGATCCTCCAATGTCCCGCTATAGACGAGAATATCGTCTAAGTAGACCAGCACGAACCGGTCCAACATTGCACGAAACTCGTTGGTCATTGTCGCTTGAAAGGTTGTCGGGGCGTTGGTGAGGCCAAAAGGCATAACCACCCACTCAAAATGCCCGTACCGCGTCTTGAACGCGGATTTGTAGCGATCATTCGGTCGGATCGAGATTTGATGATATCCCGATTTCAAATCCATCTTAGAAAAATACTTTGCGCCGCCCAATCGCTCAAGAAGATCATCGATGCGAGGAGGCGGCCCCGCATTCTTGACGGTTTGCGCGTTGAGCTTGCGGTAGTCGATACACAATCGTGGATCCTTGTTCTTCTTCCGGACGAAGAGAACTGATGCTCCATATGGGGAGCTACTAGGGCGGATCCAGCCCTTGGCCAACAAGTCGTCGAGTTGTGCCCGGAGGACCTCAAGCTCCTCCTCGCTCATCCGATAGATGCAACCTTTCGGCGGCATGGCACCGGCCTCAAGAATGATCTCGTGAGAGATCGGCCGATCCGGCACCACACCGGTAGATGACTCGAAGATGTTAGCGAACTCGTCCAGCAACTGCACCACCCGGGGGTCCGAAGACAAGTCCATGGGTGAAGTGTCGGCTACCGCAACGGTCCTTAGGAAACATAGGCCGATTTCCTCGGGCTGCTCGTAAGCGCAAGTCGCCCGGAATGATTTGGCCGTCACCACTTGGCACCGAATCGAACAGTGCGGTAGAGGAATAGTACATGCCACTTTCGCGCCGAAGGCGTTGCAAACGCTAAGAGTCCGCCGATGGAAGTTGACCGTGTGATCCGCACTTGCAAGCCAAGGCATTCCCAGAATGATGTCGAAGTCCGTGTCCAAAATGTCGAACGTCACCGGTTCGCATGCATGAGGTGCGAAATACACCGGTACGGCCTCGATGTAACGGTCGAGTAGTTGCTGCGTCTTTCCATCCGCCAACTTGATCGCCGTCGGGTTTGCCTTCCTCCGAACTTGTGCGCCAAGGCCAGCCTTTTGCATAAAGGCTTGGCTCATGAAATTGCGAGACGCGCCGCTATCTAGCAAAGCGCTGCAAGACGCTTGCCCAACCTCGATGCAGACATACATGAGCGGTGCGTTGTTGTCATCGTACCTCTGCGTGCGAAACTCGCGGGCCACCTTGGTAACATACGCAAGGATGTCCCCCACTGCGACTTCGTCATCCGTCGGCGAAGTTGGTGGTGCATAGAAGGATAAGTACGTGTGGAGATGAGCGCATAGTGCTGCGCATTGCGGTCCCGACAAGCAACCCATGGTCGGGAGAGGAAGCCATGCAAAGTCCTCGGACGTGAGCGGGTCCAATACCTCTATGTTGAACTCGCGCGCCGAATCCTGTGAAGGATCACTTGAAGATGATAAGTCGTCGTTGCCGGACAGAGAAGATGCGGCACACACGTCTTGTCCTTGAGCTTGAGTACCCAGCGTAGGAACGAGTCGGGCAGCATAGTCCTCAAAAGAATATAGAAGAGGACTATCGACGTCCGCATGCGCCTCGGAATGAAGGCCGTTCACTCGCGAAGAGACCGGTTCCGGAGGCGTCGAGAGTGTCGTCGAGTCACTCTCGGCGGTGCTCAGTTTCCCTGTTTGCCCTTGCCTTTCAATGGGCAGGCCAGCGTCTCATGGAGATCGTTGTTGCGCCATAGGCAATAGTGGAATCTCGTGCGCGCTTTAAAATGCTTGCTAGGAGATGCCGTATTGGGACCATGGGGCTGGAGCTGCTGCGCCGGGCCCGGGGCTAGATGCGGTGTGTGTCTTTGTTTTGCCGCGTCCTCGGCCTTTGCCGAGGCGGCCACCTTCCCGGGCGGCTGCGAGTCTGTCCCCTTCATTGGCAGACACGGCCTCGCTAGTTTGGTCAAACGACGTTGCTGCCGTGACCGCGGCCACTCTTGGTCGATGCTGGTCTCTGCTCGAGCCTGGCGCAGTCGAACGCAAGTTCTTAGCCTCCTTGTTCGTGATGATAATCTGCGCGGCCTTGTCAAAGAGTTTCACCGTTGTCATCAAGGTGTCCTCGGCGTGAGTCAGGGCATTGCTTAATGTCGGACAGGACCTTGAGATGAAATAGTGGCGGATGGCTTTGAAGCCCATCTGGATGTCTGGGACTGATGTCTAAGCATTGGTACTCAGCAATCAGTCGACACTTGGCAGCGTGCCTTGTTCGAAGACCATTAGCTTGTCCACTGCTTTGATCTCCGACGGCTCTGCCTGGAACCGCTTGTGCCACGCCGCCTTCATATCATCCCAGCTGATCTTGGTGTGCAAGTCGGCAGCTACCACTCCATACTTGGACAAGAGATTGTCCAACCATGCCCGGCATGCGCCCCACGACCGGGAGTATAAGTACGCGTGGTGCTTGTGTTCTTCAACGTAGTGTAGCTGCAGCGTGAGCTCGAACTTGCGGAACCATGAAATTGGATTTGTCTTCGTCAAGTCGCAGAAGATCTCCTGTCCGTCGAACTTTGGAGCTGTCTCGCGCGGTTCCGAACGCAAGTGGTTAGCGGCAGTGAGATCCGTTGTTCCAACTGTTGCGTTGCGGTCTACTGTAACTGCACGCCATCCTTGAGGGAGTCGACGTCCATCTCCAATGCTTCGAGGCGGTCGGAGGTGTTGGAAGAGCTTGCATCGGGGGCGGCGACAAGTCGCTGCTCCAGCTGCCGGAGGCGACCGTGGACTTGAGTCAGCGTGTCGTCGAGGCCACGGATGTCCTCCTATTGTGTAATGCATGTTGCCAGGAGGTCTGTGAGATGGGAGAGGAGTAGAGCAATCTTATTTTCGCTATCCTCCATCTTGCCATTCTCGACCTCGGTCCGCCATTCTGCTGCCATTGTGAGCAAAGTCTGCTCTCCGTTAAATATCTTCTCACGACGTTGAATTCTTTCTTCATCGGCAGCCTTTGCTTCTGCCTCGTCATGCTGGCGTTGTCGTTCAATTGCCAGCAGACGTGCCTGCTCGGCGTCCTCTGCCTTCTTCTCTCCTGTTGCTGCGTCATCCGCCCGTCTCTTTGTTTCGGTACTCCAGGCCAGCATCCGAGCGTGATAGGCCTCGTCTGCTTCTCCGGACCTCTGGTCCATGACGGCTGTTTGTGAACGCAACAACATAGACCAGGTCGGGGGCCTGCTGACGTAGTATTCCCTGCTGCTGACGTGGCACTGCTGTCGGCTGACGTGTCCTGCTGACGTGGCCTGCTGACGTGGCCTGCTGACGTGGCCTTCTGACGTAGTCTGCTGACGTGGCCTGCTGACGTAGTTTGCTAACGTGGCTTGCTGACGTGGCAACTTACCAATGCCGCCGCAAGGGGTACCCGGAGACAGGTAGAGAAGGTAAGGCGAGAGGTGGCAACAACATAGGTGGGGAGGGGTGGGTGGGATAATCGCCCAGATAACACCCAGATAAGGAGCCACTAATCAAAAAAGAAAAGTTTGAACTTTGCAAAAAAAGTTTTGAGAAAAATAAAAATGCCAAGTTTTTGCAAGTTCAGTAGGTCTCCCAACCTCCCTTGAAGTGCGAAACTATCAATGAGAAAAAATTTCGAACTTCAGGCTGCAAATGAGTTATAGAACTGACTAAGAGAATCCTAGAACTGCGGAAAAAAAAAATTCGAAAAGAAATCAAACATTTGGACTTACTCAGATGAGAGTATTCACAGTTTGGAAAATAATACATGCGGGAGGGATTTCCCGCGCCGTTTTCAGAACAACGAATTTCGAAAGAAAAATATTCCGAATTTCCAAGTAACGGGAAATGCAACAGGAAATCAAAAATTTCAAAAAGAAGGATATTCCGGATTTTCAACAACGAAATTTTGAATTTTCAGAAGAAAATTCGAAAATGGAAATTTCAGATGTTGTGCTATTGCGATTTTCTACAACAGAAATAGCAAGAAAACAAAATCCAAGAAAATAAAAAAAATTTGACTTTCGGCAGTAAGGTCAAAATCGTGATTTTGGGGGCTAACTAGTGTGCTCTAATCAATCTATAAAGACTAATCAGCTACCTAGTCCCCGCACACGTGTCAGATCAGGTTGTCCCATACTTGCAACCGCACGAGCCGCACACTCGTGCGAAGTTCCATGTGGAGTTCCGTGCGGGGGGTGCCTGTACGGAATCGTGCAGGTTTTTTATTTTTATTATTATTATTTTATCTTTTTTTGGGAGGGGGGACGGGGGGCTTATGACAGGAAGATGGGGATATGGCGAGGAGAGGGAGATATGGAGAGGAGGAGGAGGAGGTGGACGAGGAGGACGACGAGGATAGCGAGGACGACGAGGAGGAGGAATCGAGATGCGGGAGGAGAAGAGATGGACGGAAGGAAAAGAGGACGGGCAGGAGGAGGAGGACGAGTGGGAGGAGGAGACATGGACGGCGAGGAAGGGGAGGACACGAGGCAGGGAAGGAGACGAGGAGGCATGGAAGATGAGGAATTACGAGGAGGAGGAGGAGACAAGGAGGAGGAGGAAGGGCAGGAGGAGGAGGACGAGTGGGAGGAGGAGACATGGACGGCGAGGAAGGGGAGGACACGAGGCAGGGAAGGAGACGAGGAGGCATGGAAGATGAGGAATTACGAGGAGGAGGAGGAGACAAGGAGGAGGAGGAAGGGCAGGAGGAGGAGGACGGACAGGAGGAGGAAGAGGAGGAGGAGACGAAAAGGAGAAGGGAGGAGGAGACATGGAGGATGAGTAAGGGGAGGAAGAGAAAGGAGAGGCAGTACTGCTGTAATTTTTTTTTTCATCTGGCTTATAATTTTGGCGGGGAGCCTCAAACGCACCGTTTTGACCCCGGTTTTTTTTTTTYTTGAGGGGGGTGATGGGTCGTTCTCCGCACACGTCGTGCGCCGCACGGGATCGGTTGGGCGAGTGCGCCGCACGTAGGGAACCTGATTCACGTGCGGTGCACCGATACCAACTGTCACATGCCTGGTCGGGCGATGTACACAATAACCGAGGATCCGCAATCTGATAAAAAGGACTGAATGGACAATGCAGTGCAAGCACAATCTCAACAAGCAATGTGCTTTCTGATACATACAAAATGGTGCTGAATAGCGCAAGGAAGACTTAGATACAAATCCTGACCTGACCGGGACTGACCTCATTCACGTAATACAAGATATCGAAGCAGAATGCTAGAATGCTAATGACTAGC